GCGGTTGGAAAATATTAGCGGAATATTCAGAAACTAATTTAAAAGAAGATCAAGTGTTGATGAGTATCATATTAAAAGGTTTACTGGGTTATATCAAATTTGCGTGTATGCACGTGTACTTTGAGCGTTGAGCTTCCGTTTTGTTTTGCTTGCAGTAAAGTTTCATTCCATAAATAGTCTTGTTTACAACTGCAAGGGGTACCCACCTCAACTATAAGTATTAGTAGTTGCTGTTGTTGTTATTGTGTTACTAAAACGATTGCGTATCTTATGAGTTGCTGGGGGATTATTAGATACTATTTACCCATTGCCAACGTCATTGTCACGACCTAAGGACATATGTACATATGTATATACACATGAATAATTTACATCAATCCTGCTATTGTTTGTGCTTTGTTTTTGTTATGTTTATGGATTTTTTATTGTGGTTTGGTTTACCTTGAAAACGGCCATTCAACCTAAATGTAAGCTGTAAAAAGCTCGAGTATAGTTATTATTTTACTGTTATTTTTTCGACTCATTAGTAGCAGAGTTGAGGTGAGAATGACCGCCCACCGTAAAAGGCGGACAGGAGTAACTGGGCTGCGGCGAATGATTGGCGTAGATGTAAAATGATGGCATTTTTGTTGCTGTTTGGTGGGCGTTTGACTTTTATACATATTTTGGCAAGTCGTACAAGACGGTAAAGTTATAAAAAATTCAGTTTTAAAAGCACTTGCGTGGCTTGGCAAGTGCCATATACCCGTATTATTATTACTAGTATGATTTTTACAAGAGCGCAAGTGACAAGCGGCCGTGCAAGTGTGGGTCGTATGACTTGTAGAAATTTCTGTGGATAAGAAGTGGAGGGGACCGCAATTGTTTTTGTTTTAAGTGACTTTGTGCAAATATTTCTGCATACACCGAAGTAGGGTTCATAATTTGTTTTTACGTATTGGCATTAAGGGTTTTCAATTAAGTGTTTCTTACACTTAACGACATTTTTTTTTGGATTTCTTAATGAGTTTGCAATTTTAGCCAATTACATGTGGGAAAGTTGCTGACCTCACCAAAATTTGGCACTGAGGTTTAAATATTTAGTCACAATTAATATTAGTTTCGCTTGAGTCATGCGTTAATTCCCTTTTAAATAACAGATTAGAAAAGTGGCCTTATCTAGATTGACTTCCTTGCTCTATTTTGCATTGAATTAGTTAAATAAGGCCACGGTTAGTTTAAGATAGAATAATGTGGAAGTTGATTACTCTTTTTTTTTACCAAACCTTCTATTCAATGATACTCTTCTTATATGCCTATTGGCGTAAGTGCAATCGCATCAAGTCAACTCCAATTGTACGCTTTGCCCTAATAGCTAGTTACGAACTATTGTATCCTTGAGTCTCTGTATATAAACACAACGGATGTCTCTTTTCCATCTTTCCCGCATGTTTCGCATACAAGTTGCGTCATTACGAATCAGTAGCTCGTTAACGAATTTCGTGTACTTACTTCTCTACCGATTCGGGGTTTTCGACTGGATGTATTTTTTTTGTATATGGATGTGCTCTAATGGAGAATCTTAAAGTCTTAAGCTCTTTTTTCCATACCGCCTTTAGTGTCGTATTATATTTTGTCAAACATATATTCAGATATATTGACTTTCTCTGCAGAGGAACACTATACTCTGAGCTCACTAATTTACCGTGGTACGTAATATCACTTAAGCCAGGTCCAGACTGCAGTTTATGTACATCCAGTAGCTTTTAAGGCATCCCTCGCAGTCCGAGCGCTGTGAAATGGGTGCATAGTGTTGTAAAAGCAGCTTTCCGCGCGCTAACTTGTCACGTCTTTTATGTACGACTGCCTCACGCCTCTGACCCAACAAGTTAGCGTAATACTAGCCGTCCATTACATCTCTCTTTGGCAAGTATTGCAGAAAATGGTAACCATAGATTATGACGCCGACTTTTCCAGTTGGAAATTTTTCGGTGGACCTTTTCTCTTTTCTATCCACTGCATTGACTTCTTTTTGGGCTCGCGATCATACTGACGAATCCAAGCTTCATCAATAGTGCCAATGCGGCTGAAAGTTTCATCCAAATCATCTTGACACAACTTGAAAATCTTTTTACAACTCTCCAATCGTCGCTGCTTGCCGAACGGCATTTTTTCATATTCACATGCTTTTGAAAAATCTCTCCTGCTCATTCTCCGCTAATCTGTTATCCTTTTGCTATCTGTCACAATTTAATTCTTAAATCAGCCAATACTAATTTTTCGACTTTCTGAATATTTTCTTCGGTCGTAACTGTCACTGGGCGCCTCAGGCGGGGTTCACTTTCACAGGTCTCTCTTCCTTGTTGTAACAGTAGGGCCCATTTTTTTACCATAATAAATGTGAAGGTAGCCGCGGTAGGCGAGTGGTTCGCATTACGTACTCACATTCGGAGGTCTTGGGTTCACATCCCGGTGCCACCCACATCAAAAAGTCATGGAATTAATTTAAATAAAAAAAATTAAATTTTCTAATTGCGGTCACCCCTCGGCTAAGAATGTTCACCCCTCCGAGTGTATTTCGGACATGAAATAGAGGCTCCTCATAAAAAAACCATCAGCCCTCCGTTTGTTGGAAAAACATCAAGACGCAAACCACAAATTGGAGGAAGAGTTCGGCCGAAAAATCACTTCAGTATATACATATATATATATAGTTGGCGCTTTGTAACCGATGAAGCGATTTTCGGCCGATTGTTTTTATAGTCTCTCTTTAAACAGAGTTGAATATTGAAATCAGAGGTGATTTGATTTAGTGGTTCCTTTAGCACAGCACTCATATCGAGACCTCAAATCGAGACCAGAAACCCAATGTCTATTGTGCTGTCTATACTCACCCCATGATTTACATTTATTATTATATATAAATTTGTATGCGAAAACTCTTCACTCATTTCACTCTGCCAAAATCTTTTACTTAAACTCCAAGGATCTTAAGCTTCGCGTGTTGAGATGACATTACTCGTTATTGGTCTGTATATAATAAATTTATTTTTGTATTAATACAAATAAATTAAATCCCTTTACTTTAATAAAAATATATACTCATTTATAATATTTGATGAATTTCACCACATTTATTTGGTGGCTTATAACCGGTGAAGCCAAAGGCAAATAAAAATAAAATTATTTGTAGTAAATTTCGCCAACACGCCATAAAAGCCATTTTTAGTTGCGCTTTCGCTGTGAGCCAGCAAATTTTGTCAGTCAGTTAAAATTCCACACCTTCTCTTTAGCCATGCAACAGCGCAATGTTCAACATGTTGTTGGCCGCCACGAGGGGTCTGTGGAGCGTTTAATAAAAAGGAACTGCGGTGAAAGCTTAACCCATTCTCCTCTCCCCGGTTGGGTTCTTTGTACGAGTAATCGATGTAAAATCGCACACGAAGGTAAACAAAATGACCGAAAATACAATAAAATGTGGCATAGAGTGTAGACTTGGAATATCAACGAATGGGAGAGTAAATGGAGGTAAATGGTATTTGGAAATTTGGTTGTTGTGGTTGATCCTTTGATAATCACATTCACATACTTTATATAAAATATGAAAGTTTGTGGTCAAAATATAAGTCGGATTATACAAATACTTTTAGAGTATTTAAAAATTATGGTTTCTTTGTAAGAGAGTCTCAAAGCAAAAAAGTCTTTCTCACCTATACATACACATATGTAATATTTGATTTAATATTGGACAGTGGAAGGCGGGTTATCAAAGTTTACAGTCCCTTTGGTTGCGAGAAATCGGCTTAAATTTTTTTTCCAGACTAAGGTGAAATGCCAAGAACTAGAGTTTATACGCATGATTAGGCTTTTGCTGTCAGTAACTGAATTCACCTTGACGTCGGTATGAAAATAAACTTCTTAACCAAGAAGTTCCTGGAGAAACCACACTGCTTTCGTATCTAGAAGAAGTTTAAGAGTGAAGATGACAGTTCTAACCTTCCAGTCTAAATCGACTGCCACGGGAAAGCTGTTTTTGAACTGTAATCCTTGGGATAGCGACGAATCAAACTTCAAGCTCCAACGCTTTCAACGCAGTGCTATCGATCCTAAACGAAAAAAAAATTATCCAACCGTCCTTCCCAGCAAGTCTAAGACCAACCATATTTACTAGAGGGTTTTGGTTCACCGTGCACATCCTAAGCAGATTTGGTTTGCTCCAGAAGGAGATAGTAGTACAAGACTCGATTGCACCACTTCGCACCCTAAGTGACTACACATAGCCATAGCAAAACGGTTAGTCGAAACTATCCGTGTTGTAGAAATAGGCAGTCGAAGAGACCATCAAAGTACAAAGCTTTTTACTCAACTATCCGGAAATTTGTTTAAGACCTGTGTATTCCTAGAATCCTATTTACATTTCTCCAAAAACAAAATTGTTTAACAGATTCAGACAGACTTCTGGATGGTAAATGGTAACGTTTATGAGGTCCAATGACTAGTCAAAAATCAGCTTAAGTGGTTTCAGTGCCTCGTAATAAATTAATATTAAATCCAATTTCATTAAATTAAATTTAAATCCAATTTCAACGTATTTTATTATTCGAGCCTAAGATATGTAAATATTTACGTTCGTATGTATGAATGTAGGTAAATTCTCATACATTGTTGCTTATGACCTCATCGAGAGGTGAAATTTCCCACTTCGCACGTGCCACGCGGTGTTTATAAATTTATTACAATAACAAAAGAGTATACATTTTACTCTCATTTATAAAAATGTGTGAGTGACCAAGAAGGTCCTGAGTACCGTAACAAACTAAATGCCAATTAAGTTAAAATAAGCCCACTTGCTGAGTTAAAAACTAGCCAACTAAACAATTGACTGAGCGTGTGTGTGTATGTATATGCACATATGGATATGTTTGTTTCTATATATATGCATGTATGTAAATGTGCTCTTAGCCCATTGTACCATAGAAAATTTAAATATTCCTCCCTCTCACCCAACTCCATTCCGTCGTCTGCCAGCGACCGTTGTATGGCGTGGCTTGTGGTTGGTTGGCTAAGTGAATTGAATTGACCACCCAATTATTTGTGTGCTGGAAACGCGCGATTTAGTCGATTTCGTGACCACCTGAAGGAATAGACGTGAAACGTTTCTATTGCCGTGCGAACAAAGTGCTTGATTATTATTATTTCTTAATTCTAATATATTTTCTAGCAACGAGCCACGAAGTGAAAGAGGAAATCGACTTAAAATCAAAAAGTAAAAACTGAAAATAAACTGTGATCGAAATTAATTAAAAATAATCTTAGTAATAAGTTGTTCGAATTTCAATAGATAATTTAAGTGAAATTAAGAAATAAAAAATGGGTTGCGCCAGCAGTACACCAATGGTTGCCACAGCTGGCAGTGAAATGTTGAAAGCAGCCACACATGTTGCCGCAGATGCAGCCAAAAGCGCAGAGCATGCAGTGGCAGGTAGTTTTTTTTATTATTGTTTTTGGAGTTTTATGTCATGAGTGCAAGAAAGCTTTTAAGATAAATAAGTAAAAAAATATAAACAACTCATAATAAATAAAAAAGGTAAAAGTAAGGAAATGGAATACAATATTATATAAAAAAAGAAAGTGAAGTCAACAAATTTGAAAATAAAATAAATTCCAACAATGAAAATAAATTAAAAATAATAAATTAGAATAACTAAAAAGGATAAAATAACATGATATAAACTAATTTAAAATAAGATTAAAAATAACATAAAATAAATAAATTAAAAGGAAATAAATAAAATAAAGTAAAAGAAAACAAAATTAAATAAAAATAATAAAATGAAATTGAACAAAACAAAATTCAATAGAAAAAAATAAAAAAATTATTAAATTAAAATTAACCATGTTTAATAAAATAAAAAAAAGAAATAAATTAATATATCGGCTAAGGTAGCCGAGTGGTTTGGATTGCTTACTGCCATACGTAAGGATGATATGACCAACGTCCAAAAGTTATAGAAAATAAGTTTAAATAAAAAATTAATTAAAATTCGGCAAAAAATTGCATCAGCGGTTACAAAGTGCCAGTGATGTATAAAAAAATATGTAGAAAAAAAATTAAATAAAATAACAAATCAAAAAAAATTAAACAAAAGAAAAAATAAAACAAAATATAACTAAATGAAAGGAATTAAAATAAAATGAGTAAATTAAAATAAAAGATAGCATAATAAATTAAAACAAAATTAAATTAAATTAAATATAGGGTGTACAACTTTGCTTCCGCCGTTTTTTCCAAAATTAAAAGCTTTATTGCGAAAAAGTGCTTACAGATATATTATTCAAAGTATTGTCCTTCGCTAGCGACAATTTTGTCCCATCTTTACGGCAATTTTCGAATACCGTCTCGAAAAAAGGAGTCCTCTTTAAACGCTATCCATGAAGCAATCCATTTTTCCAATTCTTCGAAGGATTGGAAATGTTGATCTGCCAGGCCGTGTGCCATCGAACGGAATAGGTGGAAGTCAGAAGGGGCGATATCTGGGGAATACGGCGAGTGGGGCAAGACTTCCCATTTCAGCGCTTCCAGGTACTTTTTGACCACTTTTGCGACGTGAGGCCGAGCATTGTCGTGTTGGAGGATTACTTTGTCATGTCGCTCTTGATATTATGGCCGCTTTTCTTTTAGCGCGCGACTAAGGCGCATCAGTTGCGTTCGATAGCAATCTCCTGTGATGGTTTCACCCGGTTTTAAGAGCTCGTAGTAAATCACACCGAGCTGATCCCACCAAATACAAATCATAACCTTGTTTGTCTTCGACATTGAAATCAAAATTTTTAAAACGTTGAAACCACTCCCGACACGTTCTTTCACTCAGAGCAGCATCACCGTAAGTTTCTGAGAGCATTCGATGCGCTTCAACTGCATTTTTTTTTCGAATTGTAACAGAAAAGTAAAACTTCCCGCAAATGGCGAGACCTAGGCACATAAACGGACATTTTCGAGCGTGTATAATACGAAAACAAGAACAACTGTCACTGAAACGGTGATGACAATTCGTTAGGCACTGTCCACACTCACTTTAAAGGCATTATCGTCTACGTATTTCAACCAGCCTCAGCCGGTACAGCCACCTATCGGAAAACGGCGGAAGCAAAGTTGTACACCGAAATGTAAAATAAAGAAATGAAATAAATATAATTAAAAAAAAAAACTTAATAAAACAATATGAAAAAAATAATATAAAGCTAAACAAAATAAGTTTAATCATAATAAAATGAAATAAAATATAATATAAGAAACAAAGCAAATAAAATAAACAAAATAAAATTAAATGAAATGAATTAGAATAAAATGAGTAAATTCATATTTCATAATTATTATTTCTATCGGAAAACACTTGTGGGCGCGGTTTGTGAAAGTAAGAAAAAGAAGAAAATTAGAAAATGTGAAAATATGAAAGCTTGGGAAACTCAGAAAAATGCAGTCGCAATTAAATGAATAAATAAATTATTCCCAGTTGCCGTCTTAATTAAAGACTTCTGCGAGATTTTTTACTATTTAGTAACAACCGCATTTTCTTCGATTAGAATCCCATTTTCAGTATCGAGTTATAAAAAACTACATTGTCTCCAACCTATCAGAGATGTAGAATATCCACAAAATCAACAGCGTAAGAACAAAACTAAGAAGAAGTCTCTGCGCTTAGAATATTCAGAAATGGCTCAAGAAAGTCCATCACCAAATATGAAGATTAAACAAGTCTGGAAAACGGCTGGTTTTCGTTCTCGTTCCTTTATATCAACAACTCTATGCTGTGCCCAAGACATCTGTGGAGAATAAGTGGTAGATTTTATATTAAAACTTTTATTCGAATGTGTTTTATTATGAATATGTATAATTAGGTTGGCTTCTATTGTACAGCACAGCCGTGTCGCGAATATTAAATCATCTGGTACACAGGAATCTGCTCGATGGGTTTGTAAATGAGTCTTGAATCTTGGTTCTACAAGTACGGTACAGAAACCAAACTTCCGTCCGTGATATGGAGCCCAACAGTAGCAAACGCACCCGGTAATAACGAGTAATTTTATTGCGATCTCTGGGATCAATGGAATCGAAAAAATACTTCAGCACCATATTCCTCGGAGATAGCACCCTGTGATTTCTGGTTATTTCCAAGAATTAAAAAACATTTAAAAGGAAAGGCCTTTAATACCAATGAAGAGATAATTAATGCGGTTAATGCTGAACTTGATAAGTTAAAAAAGAAAGGCTTAAGAAATGCATTGAAATCAATGGGGATTACGTAGAGAAGATCAAATAGGTCAAAGATCACGAATAAATACAAATAGAATTTTCTTTTTCTAATCAACTTACCGAACTTTAATGAATCTCCTATTATATATGTATTAGGTCAATTAGTAAAAAGTTCGATCGGTTCTTTAATTTTCAAAATATGACATCTTTGTGCACATTTGGCCGATTTAAGTCAAATATGTGCCGTTTTGTTCGTAAACTTTTCCCCTATCGTAGAAGGTTGCATCCCTATTGGCAAAAAACTCGGAGAGCCAATTTTCACAGGCCTCTCTTGAGGCCAACTTCTCACCATTAAGCGCGTTGGCCATGGACAGGAAAAGATGGTAATCACTTGGGGCCAGGTCCGGACTATAAGATGGTTGCATTAGGAACTCCCATCCGAGCTCCTAGAGCTTCTGGCGCATCACCAAAGACATGTGTGGCCTGGCGTTGTCTTGATGGAACATAATTCGGCCTCTGTTGATCAAAGATGGCCTCTTCTGGAGATGGACTCGGTTCATTTGTTGACAGTAGAGGGCCGAATTGAGCGTTTGGCCATAGGATAGCAGCTCGTAGTAGATGATTCCTTGACAAACCCACCAAGCACACAGCAAAACACTCCTGGCCGTCAATCCGGTGTTGGTCAGCGTCTGGGCCGCTTACCCGAGCTTTGATCACGACCGTTTGAGCTCGATGTTGTCGTAAGTGACCCATTTTTCATCGCCAGGTACAATTCGCATCAGTAACGGGTCGATTTTGTTGCGATTCAGCAGCGATTCGCAGATGGAAATCGAGTCCAACATGTTTTTTTGCGTTAGTTCGTGTGGCACCCAAACTCGAGCACCTTTTTGAATCCAAGGTTGTGCAGATGGTTCCAAACGGGTTTCTGGCTTATGTTTAGTTCCTCAACAATTAAATAAGTGCTCAAGTGATGGTCTGTTTACACTATTTCCGTGATTTTATCGTAATTTTCGACGGCAGGTCTCCGCGCGTGCATCTTTGACATCGAAATTACCGGAACGGAAGCTAGCAAACCACTTTTGTGCTACACGTTCCTTTAAATTGATTTTTTCACTCGCTTTGGCTGCTTTTTCGCCTTGATCGAAGAACAATTATAAAATAGAGCGAATTTTCTCTTTGTTGGTGTCCATCTTTGACGAGCGCTCACGTACTGAGCCAATCAATCGAAAAACTGTCAAGGACAATAAACATGTTTTCGGCGCCGTATAGTATGACATGAGTATTAGTACTATGTAAAATAACGCCATCTCTTAGATAAAAACCGAAAGTATTTATTACTTGACCTAATATATATTACAAATGCTGATAGCGCATAAAACTGAAAGCCTGATAAAATTACAAATGGCCTCTAGGCGGCGCTACAGTCAAAAATTCGATAGTGGTTGTCGGTTATTGCTTTAATTTTAACTCAGTTTGAGAAAAATTCAAAATCAAAAATATCAAAAATTACTGAATCTTACTTTTGTGTTTTTTTTTGCTACGCTGGAGCCAGGATAATCGGATCAGACTGAAAGTACTATTTATTAAGAGCTTTGTAATAATGATTTTAATACGAAAACAAAATCTACAAAAAAATTTTCCTATCGCATCTACTTGAGTTATGATATTAATTTATTAAAAAATGAAAATTATAATATCAATAGTCCCAGGTGATTTTCAAGTATTCAAATGCATAATGGGAATGTGGCGTTCGCGTGACTGGCAGTCGGTAAACTGCTCGTAATTGGTCAAATATTTATACCGTTGAAAAGGCCAATATTCTGAAGAAACAATTGTGAGTGGCATATACTGGCAGGGTAGGCAGCGCAGTATAAATGGCGAAGGCGCAGGGATCTTCAGGTGGCACTTGTCTACACGCAAGTCTGCAGCAAATGCAAAGCGCTGGCGGCGGGGGGTGTATAATCGCTGATTAAGCCACTCATATAATTGATTACTTAGCATATGCGTGCGGAAAATTTTATTACATAAAGAAAAAACAAAACAAAACAAAATGGAAACAGAAAAGAGAAATGAGTAAATGGGATATTCGCAATAATAATAATAGTTAAAGGAGCATACTTGCACTCTAGCCATAAACACAATTGTTCCTGCTATTTTTAAAACTTTACACTTTTATTTTTCCTCTCTCTCTCTCTCTCTCTCTCTCCTCTTTCTCTTTTTCATACATATTTTCTGCTAAACAAACTGCAGAGGTTAACGAATCAGTTGGCAAATCATTGGACACCGCCAAAGAGACCGTTGGCACCGCTGTCACAGGTATCGCACACGATCTGGGCAGCGTTTTTACCGAGAAGTCAGGTGAATTGGACACAGCGAAAAATCAACTCTTGGAACGTTTGCACTTGGGTGGTGCAGCTGGCGCTAACAAGGCCCTTGAGCAAACAGTCGCGTCGACAACAGCAAATCACTTGGACGCATCAGCTTTGGAGGCGGCTGCACGAGCACCCACACCACCACCCGATTTGGACAGTTTGAAAACTTCAACACCCGAACCAGAAATAGAACGTGCAATGGCTAATGCGTCTGAGGACACTCCGCCAACGCCAAAACCGTCTATTGCCGAGTTGGAAAAGTTAACAGCGGAAATAAAGCATACAGCACAGACAACAGTAGCTGCAACAGTCACGGATGGCGCTGTTGAGGCTAACAAACAGTCGAATGCGGGGGAGATGTCAAGTGGAACAACTGCGGCCACTGAACCGGCCGTGGAGTGAGTAGGCGTTCGTTTATTACCTTATTAGGTTTTTATATTCTTAGTGTTTTGAACTCATTTATTGTTGGTTAACTACGTTGTCTTTTTGTTTTCGTCGTAAACGAGTTGGTTGACATTTAGTTGGTTCAAATGTTTTCATTTATGGTCAGCAAATGGTTTTTTAGTGTTTGTTTAAAGTTCTCATTATAAAGTAATATATCGATATATAAAATGAGTGTACATATATAAATGCAATTTGAATGTAATTGTACTTAGAAAGCATATATTTAATTATTAAGATTTTTTCCAATTTATTCAGTTTGAATCTAATATAATTAATTTAGTTTAATTTATTTAATTTCTACTACATAATATTTTTTGAGAAATATTTTTTAATATTTTATTTTATTATATTAAATCAATTTATTTTAAATTTAGTTTAATTTGTTTTATTTTATTCATTTTTTTTCTTTTATTTGTTTTTCATACTATTTCATTAAATTTTATTTTAGTTCTTAATTTTAATTCAGTTTATTCAAATTTATTATTTAATTTTATTATTCATTTATATATAATTTCATTATAATTCTGTTAATAGAAATTATTTTAAATTTCTACCTATTTTATTTCACAATATTTTAGTTTATTCTTTTAAATTTTAATTAAATTAAATCAAAAGTTAAGCTCCACTTAATTTAATGTGGTCTAATCTAATTGTATTTTACTTCATTTAATTTGGTATTAATAAATTTTAAATCAATATAATATAAGTTTTAGTTTTATTTTGTTTTTTAGGAAAGGTCAATTTATTTTTATTTTGTATAAGGTTACATAATTTTATTTTACTTAATTTTATGTGCATTTATTTTATTCTGCTTTATTCACCTTACTTAAATTTAAATTAATTTATTTTATTTTATGTTATTATATTTTTTATTTTACTTTAACTCATTTTATGTTATTTTAATTAGCTTTATTTCATATTATTTTATTTTATTTTATTTTATTTCATTTCCATTCATTTAGTTTAATTTAATTTTTTTTTATTTTATTTAATTTAATTTAATTTTATTTTACCTTAGTTTGTTGTATTTTATTTAATTTAACATTATTTTATTTTTAATTTTTTTTTTTTATTTCATTTTATATTTTTAATTTTATTTTATTTTATTTTATTTTATTTTATTTTATTTTATTTTATTTTATTTTATTTTATTTTATTTCATTTTATTTTATAATATTTTACTTTATTTTATTTCATTTTATAACAATTGATATTAAATCTATAATCGTTGCTATGATTTTATAACGTAAAAACACGTTGCTATTCTTAATGAAAACGTTGAGTTCTTATTATTTTGATAATGTGATTTTTTAGCTCATTTTACTTAAATTCATCTCGGTTAAGTCTTAAGCAGAATGTAAATAAATAATATACACTTAACGAAATATTTGCGAATTAAGTACACTTTTTCCAGATCTAGAACACAGAACTTGAAAGATTTATTAATTTTGAATTCAAAATGTAGAACTTAAAGTCAAATGTCTTTTATACGTAATTTAACGGTAGTTTAAAGTAAATAAATTATATATTCATACGCCTCTTTAATAACTATACATACATACTCGTAAACATATCAATAAAGCGTTATTTTTCAAATACTCAAACTCAATTTCGAATGTAAATATATTTGCATTTTTATTTACTCTTGAACATTTCGATGGTTTTCTTTTCTGATTTATCCACTAACTATGTATTACTTATGTAAACTTCAATGCTTGCGATCCTTACAAACGAGCAACGCAAAGTTTTGTAAAAGTGCAACAAAACCCTGTAAAAAGTACGTAGTGATTTTGAGATACACACCAATGCACCCACAGTGGTTTGTAGACAAAAGTGCATAATTATTTTTCCTTCTTTCTCTGCTTATTTCTTCTTTCTCATCACAGCATGGTTGCATGGTTGGCGGCGGAAAAACGTCCTGGCACCACTGAGTGGGAGAAACACGCCGATCACTTATCGAAGACACGCAAAGTGAGTGAGTTTAAAGGTGGTGGAAAGTTTCGACGCTTCGGACCATCTCTACAGGCGGCAATAAAGCCTGCCAATTACCACAAGCCAATGGAAAATATGAGACGTACCCTTCTCGAGGATGACAGTTGTTACAGTGATGCTTACTACAATAGTCACAGCAGTCCACAGCATTCGTCCGCCTCCGATAGTCCACGATTGAGACACGCACGTTTGCCCATAAATGGCGTACTCGCCGCCAATGCCAAACGAATGCAACGTGAGTTTGCAACATTTGTGAGTAATCGACGCAGCGGACTGCGTTCATTAGCCGTGTCACCAGCGATGGGTCGTCACTTCGACTATAATCCGCAACGGCCGCGTTTTGGTTTACCAACTCCATCCGTTATTGGGTACACACGTTCTGGTTACTCCACACCCACCTTGGTTATGAACTCGGAGCTGCTGCCTAATCCACACACAGCTGGCTGGAAGAGAGGTATGGGAGTTTCGTCCATCAATTCGCCGCCGGCACGCATAGGTAGAGTACCAACACGTGCTATCACGTCCTTAGATCCTTCGCTCACGACAAATGTCATTTCACAACCGAAAGTAAAATCTACAAAAGCCTTTGCCTCCCTACGAGCTGAATCTAATGGACGCACTAGAATATTTGGTCAAACACGTACAGGTTCGCCAACAAATCGCAGAGTATTTGCTAAGAGAACAAATTCACCACCAAAGGTTAAGGGTCGTTTATTATATGCGCGATCAGAGTCACCGGCGCGTGGAAAGCCGCTGAAGCAAAATAAAGTAGTGGCAACTACTAAAGTGAAGCCCTTAAGGCAAGCTTCGACTAAAATCCGACTGGAGCGTGAGGCAAGCATAAAAGAACACAAGGAATCTCCAAAAGCAGAGATGTCAGCAAATATATTTTCATTATCGAGAGCACTGTCGCCCATTAAAATTGCAGCGGAGTCTCATTCGCTGCCACATTTGAAGAGTACAGAACAGAAAGTGACGCCCACAGCGTCTTCCTTGCTGCAAGTTGTGGAACAAGCTGTAGAACGTGCGAAAAATGATGGTGCGCACTTAGATATTGGTATTAAAGAGAGCCCAAAAGTTGCAAAGAATTTGCCAATGAAGAACGAAGTATCTGTGAAAAATGATAACAGAAAAGAAACACCTAGGAGGTCACAGAAGACGGAAAAGAATAGTGAGAGGAAGAGTGCCAGCGGAAATGTTGTTGAAAGCAATAAAAATATTGTAAACAACAAGTCAGCTGAAAAAGCCAGCAACAAGCGCGAAAACCAAGATGAAGAATTTGCCAGCAAGGAAGGTACTAAGAAGCAAACGCCAAGTCCTATGCGACAAAGCTTAAAGAGTGATTCAATCTCCTCAATTTCCAAGCGACGAAACTCAAAAAGTCAAACAACTACACCAAGCCCGATGAGACGGTATTCTAAGGGTGCAATAACTATGGACAAGGAAAAAGAAAAAAATCACGATCAGCAAGTAGGTTCGGCGGGGAAGACGCATAGTCCCAAAAATATTGAGGGAGATATTAAACAAGGTATCAGAGGTCGTTTCAGTATGAGTCCAAATAAGAAACACACTTTTGATGCAGGAAACACTGAAGAGAAACGAAAACTTTGGACCAGTGCAAGCCCAGACGGTAGAAAACCAAGAAGCAGTCGTAGTATAGCTCGAGAAACGGAATTAAATACAAGACGAAATTCTATGCAAAGCTCTATCCTATTGAGCAATTCGAGTCCGAATGCAAAGCAACGAGATAATCATGCAAATAAATCAGCTGATCATGGCTCATCAAGTGGACATATCTCGTGCGTTAATCAAACGACACCAGAGTCAAAGCGTACTAAGTCCAATAGCAGTCACTCAAGCAAAAGTAATTGGAGCAGTTCCAGTAGACAAAGCAGCCACGTCGAATACACAAATATTAGCAATCGGTTCGAAAGTAATGCAGTGCAGAGTGCGGTACGTAAGGAAAGAAGTCCCAGTCCGGGAAAGTTCAATCTCACAAGCTCAAACCATACGGAGAATGAGACTAGAGCAATGAAACAACAAAAGATATCTACAGAATTTGATAAAAATACAAACCCAAATAGCAATCTTAACTCTAAAGATGAGCAGTTTAAAGATCATATTGAAAGCATCCAATATAGCCCACCTAACGCTAAGGACTACGGTCATGAAAAACGAAAAACCAATACAATAAATGGAAATTCTCGTTATCATGATGATGAAGTCCATGCGCGAAGTCATACAATCAATTCTGATGAGGATGTAGTTGTAAAAACCACAAGTTCCAGTAAGAATTCGAGTACCAAGAGCGTGCAAAGCCAAGTACGAAATAGTAATGAATATTTTATAAAAGATTTCACAAATCATAAACGTATTCCTAGCGAAACAACTTTAGTCAATAACAAAGCAAATAACAGCCACAGAAATGATGAACACAAAGTACAAACTCCACAAATTTCAACCCACCAAAGTAATGTCAGCCCAACGAAACAAAACATAAGCACTAGATACTCACCCAATCTACACTCAAATAATAGTTCACCATCCAAATCTTCAAAGTCTTCCACAAGTATTGTTATACGTACAAATTTTTCAACACCCGAAACAGAAGAATATAGTGAAGACGCTTTGAACCGCGAGTTATCGGCTGAGCTTGAGCAACTTAAACGATACGACGACGAACCAACTGATGAGATTGAAGAGAGTTTTGTACAACTAACCACTGTAGAGGAGGAAAACTTACACAGAGATTTAGAGGCATACACACGTACAGATCATAATGAGAGTAGTTCCCAAACCGATTACGAAGTTGAGACGCGATCTGATGCAGAGTTGAGTTACCACACAGATAATGAAAATTCTACAACGTCCTCTACAAGTTTAGATGACTTAATAAATATGTTAACGCCAGAAACTGCATACCTCAATCTTGGGCGTAGCGCCACAATGATGACGCTCAAACCCACAAAGCCCGAGTTCGACACTAATATATCCTCTTTTCACAGTACGCCACGCCATTCAACGTATATGCGGCGTTACTCATCACCGTACGATAACGGACAGTTGGAGAAAGTTATTTTTGTGGCGGAACTCAGTCCGATGAGACGTAGTCGTTCACCACATGTGTCGAGTTCATTTAAAATGGCCGATCATTGTAATGTCTCGCACAATAATTATGTGATAAAATAGCTAAAGTTTGAAATAAATGAGCAAACATATTTTTTAAGTAGAGTCTTAATATTAAATTTCTTTTAAAAAGAGCGAAGATTTGTTTAGTCATTTTTGTCATTGGGGTACTACCTACGCCATGTCTTTTAAACAGCTACAAGTATTTTGCATTGCTGACTTCTACTTTACTGGCGCGCGGTATCCTTGCCTTTACTGTGAGTCCACTAGCGCGTACGGCATCACAAATTTCAAAGCTGGGGTATTCTTAACCATTCGGATCACATGACCTAGCCAGCCAGCCTATGTCAATGTCATCGTATAACTCGTACAGCTCATCATTCCATCGGCTCGTAAAAGACCATAAATCTTACGAAAAACCTTTAACTTGAAAACTCCTAACGCCGACTTATCAGATGTTGTCGTCGTCCATGCTTCCTCACCATTTAGCAGGACGGGAACAATGCGGGACCTGTAGAGTTTGGTTTTCGTTCGTCGGGAGAGGACATCACTTTTCAATTGCCACTCAGCCCAAAGTAGCACCTGCTGGTAAGAATGATTATGCGTTGAATTTCCAGGCTGAAATTATTATTGGTATTAACACTGGATGGTTCCAAAATAGGAGGAATTATCTACGACTTCAAAGTTATGACTGTGACATAGACACATTGACGTGGGAGCCGAGTCGCGAATGGGATCGCTATTTGTGTGATGACAGGAGATATTTCGTCTGGCCCTCATTCACTACCAGACTCATTTGCTTCGTTTCTTTATCAAGCTTGGAGAAAACAGAACTAGCGGGGCGGTTGTTGAGTCCAAAAAAGTCGATATCATCGGCGTACGCCGGCAGCTAAAGACTCTTGTACATTTCTATTCAGCTCTGCAGCTTGTATTATTTTCTCCAGCAATAAGTTAAAAAAATCACACGATAAAGAATCAGCTTGTCTGAAATCTGATTTGGTATCGAACGGCTCGTAGAGGTCCTTCACGATCTTGACGGAGCTTTTAGTATTCCTTAACGTCAGTTTGCACAGCCGTGTAAGTTTTGCGGGGATGTCAAATTTAGACATAGTGGCGTAAAGGCAGCACCTATTCTGGCTGTCGAGGGCGGCTTTAAATCGACTTGCTACGGGGCTTTTCCATTTGCAGCATGGTGAACACTACGTCAATGGTTGACTTACCAGGTCTGAAGTCACACTGATAAGGTCCAATCAGTTTGCTGACAGTGGGCATTAGTCTTTCACAATTTCAATTTAATCTACGCTTGATAGGACCTCATAAGCTATGTTAAGGAGGCTTTTTCCTCGGTAATTGGCGCAGACTGTGGAATCGCCTCTCTTGTGAATTGGCCAGAGCACACTTAGGTTCCAATCGACGGGCATGTTGACATATTTTGCCATGTTTAAATTACTCAGTCAGTAAGCCATCATCTCCAACCGCTTTGTTGTCTTCAATACGAAACGCTATTCGAATCTCGTCAGATTCGGGTAATGGAAGGTTTATCATCATCATCGATCATTGCCAACTAATGTTTAAAAAAAAATAGCCCATCGGCATACCGCTCTCTCTGCTGGAAAGTTTCTGGAAAGACTGCTAAAACCGAGACTAGTTAAAAGTGTTGAAAATGCTCAACAAGCGTCACACAACCAAATAGTCCTATTAGCCACATTGGATCTTCGAAATGTGCACATTGGAAGGATATAATTGAAGCCTTAGAGAATAAATTCTTTGTCCGCCGGGTATCAGCCTAATGGTAAGGAACTACCTTAGAGACAGGGTCTCACTCTACCAAACTACCGACGGGCAGCGAAAACAGAAGATGACGGCAGGAGTAGCGTGGGGCTATATCCTCGGGCTAGACCTCTGGAACGTCAAATCCAGCATGCCACAGTTAAAGCCTGCAAAGTCATTTCTCAGCTTAGTAGACTAATGGCTAACATAGGAGGTCTAACTCAGCAGAAAAATAAGCTTATCATGGCAGCAACCCTTAATATCTTACTGTATGGAGCCGAGCTATGGTCCGACTCACTTAAGAAGAATAATAGCGCATGGTACTGGCCAAAGTATATCGCACGGCGGTTTTGAGGGTAGCGTCAGGGAAAGCTATAGCTGTGATAAGCGGAAGCGTTGCCATCGACCAATTGGCAACCGAAAAGAAAAGAAACTGCACGCTCAAAAAAATGAAGAACCAAGGATGCACTGTCAATACAAACAGAGAGGACATAAGGAAAGAAACCCTGATCCAGTGGCAAGCTCGATGGGAAAAAGGAAGTTATGGCCGATGCATGGCCTGATTAATAGCATACGTCAGAATATGGACAACTAGGAAATTCGGCGAAGTAGACTACTACATTAACCAGATGCTATTTGGTCACGGATATTACTGGAAATACCTGCATAAAATAGGGAAAGCTTTAATATGCGTCATGTATCAATAACAATGCTAATAATGCACTCTCTGGCAAGACGCGAGAATCAGACTTGAAAACACAGTTGGAGAACTAAGAGTAGATAATATTTTATCAATTATGTTACAAAGCGAAGCAAACTGGGTAAATGTAATCCTTTCGCCAAAAAAAGTACTACGAGCGAAAAAGTGGGACCTGGACGCCGGTGGCGAGATAAAATCTCACCATGAGCTCGATGACGGTTTCCTTGAGGAGAGTGACGTCATTGATGTGACGACACAATGATGGTGCGGAAGGTAATTTTCTTCTCCTCATCCGCAAAAAAAAAATGTCTCAAAAAATTTATTATATTATTTCTAAAACAACCATGATTGCCATTAATTTTTGTTTTACAAAATATTCAAAAAAATTATATTTTCAATAAAACAAATTTCTTTTTTAATATATTTTTCTTTCTTTGTTATTTGCCAAGTAAATACACAAATTATTTTACTTTTGAATTGCTTTGCCAAATAATTTTATACTAATTCTTGTTGCTTTTTTTTTACGAAATGTACACATTTATAAAATACACACATATACATATACAATACATTCAATAATATTTTAAAGTACAATATATTTATTATTGTGAGTGCTTTGTTTTGTTTTTGTTTATTTACTAGTATAATGAATACAAAGTAGTTCTTCATAAGTACATTGCTTGTGGTTTTTTGTATTTGCTTTAAGTTTTTTATAACAAAATTAATTTTTTTTGTTTTGATTTGTTTGGTATTTTTCTAACTTACAGTTTATTCGTGTATTTAGGCAACAATTCACATGAACAAGAAACACCTTTTTTGGAACTATGTTATTTATGTATATACTATATTTAAGTGTTTCGAAAACGCTACTTTCCAAATGAAATACGTAACTAATTTTACACACACTCAACTATTATGTGTGGCAATGTTTGAAAACTATATATATATATTTTTATAAATTTTTTTATAATTTATTTAATTATTGTTTTATTTTTTTAGTAACCAAATTATTTTTCCCAATTGTTTTGTGTTTTGTATGTAGTTCTCATTTCTTTCCTATACTGATTTACAAATGTGTATGAACATCAATAATTTTTAAGTGTTTTTACCGTAGTTTAAAAGTAATGTTTTTATGAAATTCCTCATTCCAAATACTGGTGGTTATTTCGTTTTTAAGATTTTGAATAAATTGATTTTGATTTTTGTGATTGTTTGGAAGAATTTTGTAAAATTTTCATTTTTCATATTTTTTATATTTTTTTTGTTATATTTCTTTTATGTATAGTAGTATCCATTTCATGGTTTCGAAACTGTATTAATGTATTTTGACATTTGCCAAACTTAACTGCCACAGCTGACACTGCCAGCTAACCGTTCACTACTCCGTATATACGCCCATTGGTCCGGAGGTTTGATGGGACCTTGCTTCTTTGAAAAAGACCAAGGTGAGATTCTGCCTGTCATAGTCATGGCTGAAATTGAAGAAGATGCCTTGGTGCCACATGTCACACAACATGAACGAATATGGCGTTACTGAGAGAGCAATTTTTCGGCCGCGTAATCTCTCGCCGTGGCAAAGCCAAATAGCCAACGAGATTGTGTGATGAGACACCATTGGACTTTATTTTGTGGGGACAATGTAAAATAACGCGTTTATGCGGATTAATCTTTAATTCTTGAGTACTTAAAAACCAACATTCGTTTTGTTGTTGCCTAATATGTGCCCAAAAGTTTTCGAAAATTACTTCAAACGGATCGAAGATTTTAAAAATTCGTCAGGCGGTCATTCGAATGATGTTGTGTGTTACATATATTGCCAAGGTTTAAAGTTATTAAAAAATAAGAAATTCCATGAAAAAAATTATTTTCAATGCATTATATTTACTTTTATTTTCAAAAGGGCAACGTTTATTTTCAAAACCCCAAAATGGATAAAACTGTAGAACAGCCTTCTGTATGCCTTATCGCTTTTCTGGCATTTTTAGTTGCTGTCATTTAGTTTATTTAATTTCTTTGCTCTATTTTATTTTATTTAATTATTTGATTTAATTTGTTTTCTTTTTTTTGGTTATTTATTTAATTTAATAAAAAAAAGAATTTTGGTGGTGTTTTTCATTTCATTTTATTTTACTTAATTTAATTTTATTTTATAACACTTTTATTTTATGTTACTTTATTTCATATAATCATATTTAAATTTAGTTAATTTTTTTCATTTTACTTAATTTTATCATTATAATTTTATTTTATTTTCCTTCAAAGTTTATTTCATTTTATATAAATTAATTTTATTTTACTTTAATTTATAGTCTAATTTAATTTAATTGAATTTAAATCAATATAAATTTATTTTTTTTTGTTTTTATTACTTTATTTTATTCTATTTTTTTTATTGGATTTAATTTTGGTTTATTTTATATTTCTATATGAATTATTAAGTTATTTTCTTCAACTTTTTTAATGTTTTCCCCCTTTTTTACGTTTTTACAGTATTAATTTTATTTTAATTTGTTCAATTTAATTTTGTTTCAGTTTATTTTATTGTGTTTTTATTATTTTATTTTAATTTAAATAAAATTAATTTAATTTAGGCTTACTGTATTTCATATTTTATTACATTATTTTATTTT